CCATACCCTTCGACATGCTCATCTCCCAGTCCGGCTCCGAGGAGGTGAGACCAGAGTGAGACCAGAGATAGACCAGAGAGAGACCCGAGAGAGACCAGAGAGAGACCAGAGACAGACCCGAGACAGACCCGAGACAGACCCGAGAGAGACCCGAGAGAGACCCGAGAGAGACCCGAGAGAGACCCGAGACAGACCAGAGAGAGACCAGAGAAAGACCCAAGAGAGGCCCGAGAGAGACCCGAGAGAGACCCGAGAGAGACCAGAGACACATGAGAGAGCGTAGAGGCAGTAGAGAGACCACAGAGAGACAGGAGAGAGACTAGAGGGAGACCAGAGAGAGAGGAGAGAGAGAGACCCGACAGAGACCAGAGAGAGACCAGAGCTGCTATGAGGAGGTTATTTTTTGTAATTATAACCTCCTCCCTCTCCTCCCTCTGACTTCCTCCTCTCTCCTCCTCTCTCCTCCTGCAGCCTCAGACCACCACTCTGATCGGGCTGCTGAAGACCGCTCGTCTGCTGCGTCTGGTGCGTGTGGCGAGGAAACTGGACCGATACTCAGAGTACGGCGCCGCGGTGCTTCTGCTGCTCATGTGCACCTTCGCCCTCATCGCACACTGGCTCGCCTGCATCTGGTACATACCAGAGAGACCAGAGAGAGACCAGAGAGAGACCAGAGAGAGACCAGAGAGAGAGAGACCAGAGAGAGACCAGAGAGAGACCAAAGAGAGACCAAAGAGAGACCAGAGAGAGACCAGAGAGAGACCAGAGAGAGAGAGACCAGAGAGAGACCAGAGAGAGACCAAAGAGAGACCAAAGAGAGACCAGAGAGAGACCAGAGAGAGAGAGACCAGGGTGAGACCAGGGTGAGACCAGAGAGAGACCAAAGAGAGACCAAAGAGAGACCAGAGAGAGAGAGACCAGAGAGAGACCAGAGAGAGACCAGAGAGAGACCAGAGAGAGACCAGAGAGAGACCAGAGAGAGACCAGAGAGAGACCAGAGAGAGACCAGAGAGAGACCAGAGAGAGAGAGACCAGAGAGAGACCAGAGAGAGACCAGGGTGAGACCAGAGAGAGACCAAAGAGAGACCAGAGAGAGAGAGACCAGAGAGAGAGACCAGGGTGAGACCAGAGAGAGACCAGAGAGAGACCAGAGAGAGACCAGAGAGAGACCAGAGAGAGACCAGAGAGAGACCAAAGAGAGACCAGAGAGAGACCAGAGAGAGAGAGACCAGAGAGAGTCCAGAGAGAGACCAAAGAGAGACCAGAGAGAGACCAGAGAGAGACCAAAGAGAGACCAGAGAGAGAGAGACCAGGGTGAGACCAGGGTGAGACCAGAGAGAGACCAGAGAGAGACCAAAGAGAGACCAGAGAGAGACCAGAGAGAGAGAGACCAGGGTGAGACCAGAGTGAGACCAGAGAGAGAGAGACCAGAGAGAGACCAGAGAGAGACCAGAGAGAGACCAGAGAGAGACCAAAGAGAGACCAGAGAGAGACCAGAGAAAGACCAGAGAGAAAGAGTAGAGATAGACAAGCATAACTCTTGCGATAAACCTTGGACCAATGTAATAGAAAACACACACAGACCCCAGCCCTCTCTCACCCTCCCCCTCCCCCACCCCTGTATCTCTGGTATACCAGGTACGCCATCGGGAACGTGGAGCGCACCAGCTCAGCCCGGGTGGGGGGCATGAGGATCGGCTGGCTGGACAACCTGGCGGAGCAGATCGGGAAACAGTACAACGACAGCGACCCCTTCTCTGGTCCCAGCAGCAAAGACAAGTACGTGACGGCGCTGTACTTCACCTTCAGCAGCTTGACCAGCGTCGGCTTCGGGAACGTGTCTCCAAACACCAACCCCGAGAAGATCTTCTCCATCTGCGTCATGCTCATCGGCTGTGAGTCCTTCCTCGCTCTGGTCTCTCTCTCTGGTCTCCTTCTGCTCCCTCTCTCTGGTCTCTGTAGGACTCTCTCCCTCTCCTCATTCTGGTATCACTCTCTGGTCTCACTCTGGTCTCTGTAGGACTCTCTCTCCTCATTCTGGTCTCCATCTGCTCCCTCTCTCTCCCTCTCCTCATTCTGGTCTCACTCTCTGTCTCTGGTCTCTCTCTGGTCTCTGTAGGACTCTCTCTCTCTCCTCAGTCTGGTCTCACTCTCTGTCTCTGGTCTCTCTCTGGTCTCTGTAGGACTCTCTCTCTCCTCAGTCTGGTCTCTCTCTCTGGTCTCTGTAGGACTCTCTCTCTCTCCTCATTCTGGTCTCTCTCTCTGGTCGCACGCTTGTCTCCTTCTGCTCCCTCTCACTGGTCTCTGTCTGCTCTCCCTCTGGTCTCTCTGGTGTCTCCTTGATGGTCTCTTGTCTCTGCTCCTCTCTCAGCTTTTCTGCTCTCTCTGGTCACGCTGCTCTCTTTCTCTGCTCTCAATGGTGTCTCCTTGATGGTCTCTCATCCCTGCTCCTCTCTTTCTGCTCTCTCTCTGCTGTCTCTCTCTCTGGTCTCCTTCTGCTCTCCCTCTGGCCTCTCTGGTCACTGCTCTCTTTCTCTGGTCTCTCTGGTGTCTCCTTGATGGTGTCCTGTCTCTCTCCTCTCTCAGCCCTCATGTATGCCAGTATCTTTGGTAACGTGTCTGCGATCATCCAGCGCCTGTATTCTGGCACGGCTCGGTATCACACACAGATGCTGAGGGTGAAGGAGTTCATCAGGTTCCATCAGATCCCAGGGCAGCTGCGGCAGCGGCTCGAGGAGTACTTCCAACACGCCTGGTCCTACACCAACGGCATCGACATGAACGCGGTGAGGTGCACCATCAAAGCACATTCAAATATCTCTGGTCTCACTCTATTCTCTGTCTGGTCTCTGTCTGGTCTTTCTCTGGTCTCTCTCTGGTCTCTCTCTAGTCTCTCTCTAGTCTCTCTTTAGTCTCTCTTTAGACTCTCTCTGGTCTCTCTCTGGTCTCTGTGTCCCACTTTCAGTATCACTTGTGCGTCATGAAACAGCAGCAGCAAAAGTCAATGTGAAAAATCACTAAACTCCTGATCTCAGGGTCGAGTGGATATCGAGCTGAGTGTGAACACACGCAACAGAGACCAGAGAGAGACCAGAGAGAGACCAGAGAGAGACCAGAGAGAGACCAGAGAGAGACCAGAGAGAGAGACCAGAGAGAGAGACCAGAGAGAGAGACCAGAGAGAGAGACCAGAGAGAGAGACCAGAGAGAGAGACCAGAGAGAGAGACCAGAGAGAGAGACCCGAGAGAGAGACCCGAGAGAGAGACCCCAGAGAGAGACCAGAGAGAGACCAGAGAGAGACCAGACTCTCTCTTGTTATCACTCAGGCTGAGTCAGAGTTTTGTTGGTTTGAATTAGAGCTGATGTGTATGAATTGTGTTATACAAATAAACTTGCCTCGCCTAGAAAACCAGTGGAATGTTCAAACTTCTGCATCTTTCAGCCGAGCTTCACTCTGCAGACAAGTGCACCTCATTCATTACACAATCACTCAAATCTATAATAACTGTGTGATCTCACATTCTTCATGGTTTCATACGTGAGAATGATATGAATGTTCAGAGAGGTTCATTCAGACTCCGAAAGACACTCTCTCTCAGGTGCTAAACCCTCCCCCACCCCTCTCTCTCTCTCTCTCTCTCAGGTGCTAAACCCTCCCTCTCTCTCTCTCAGGTGCTAAACCCCCCCCCCTCTCTCTCTCTCTCAGGTGCTGAACCCCCCCCCTCTCTCTCTCTCAGGTGCTAAATCCTCTCTCTCTCTCAGGTGCTAAACTATCCCCCTCTCTCTCTCTCTCTCTCTCTCTCTCTCAGGTGCTAAACCCTCCCTCTCTCTCTCTCAGGTGCTAAACCCTCATCCTAAACCCTATCTCTCTCCCTCTCTCTCTCTCATGGGCTAAACCCCCCCCCCCTTCTCTCTCTCTCTCTCGGCACGGTGGCTGAGTGGATAGCACTCTCGCCTCTCAGCAAGAAGGTCCTGGGTTCGAATCCCGGTTGGACCAGGGCCTTTCTGAGTGGAGTTTGCATGTTCTCCCCGTGTCTGCGTAGGTTTCCTCCGGGTCCTCCGGTTTCCCCTACCACTAAAAATATGTACAATAGGTCTGGCATGTGCCTCCTGTACTGGCACCCCCACTCCCAAAAAATAACAATTGTAAACCGCTTTGAGACTCCGATGTGCAGTGAAAAGGCGGTATATAAATAAAGATTACTTACTACTACTACTACTACTACTCTCAGGTGCTAAACCCTCTCTCTCTCTCTCTCTCTCATGTGCTAAACCCCCCCCTCTCTCTCTCTCTCTCTCTCAGGTACTAAACCCTCTCTCTCTCTCTCTCAGGTACAAAACCCTCTCTCTCTCTCAGGTACTAAACCCTCTCTCTCTCTCTCTCTCAGGTACAAAACCCTCTCTCTCTCTCAGGTACTAAACCCTCTTTCTCTCTCTCTCTCTCTCTCAGGTGCTAAAGGGCTTCCCAGAGTGCCTCCAGGCCGACATCTGCTTGCACCTGAATCGCTCTCTGCTGCAGAACTGTGCTGCGTTCCGAGGAGCGAACAAAGGCTGTCTGCGCGCCCTGGCCCTGCGCTTCAGGAGCACACACGCGCCCCCTGGTGACACGCTGGTGCACTGCGGCGACATCCTCACCGCCCTCTACTTCATCTCCAGGGGATCCATCGAGATCCTGAGAGACGACACCGTGGTGGCTATTCTGGGTGAGGGACCAGAGGGAGACCAGAGGGAGGCCAGAGAGAGACCAGAGGGAGACCAAAGAGAGAGACCAAAGAGAGACCAGAGAGAGACCAAAGAGAGACCAAAGAAAGACCAGAGAGAGACCACAGAGAGACCACAGAGAGACCACAGAGAGACCACAGAGAGACCACAGAGAGAACACGGAGAGACCAGGGAGAGACCAGGGAGAGACCAGGGAGAGACCAGAGGGAGACCAGGGAGAGACCAGAGGGAGACCAGAGGGAGACCAGAGGGAGACCAGAGGGAGACCAGAGAGAGACCAGAGAGAGACCAGAGAGAGACCAGAGAGAGACCAGAGAGAGACCAGAGAGAGACCAGAGAGAGACCAGAGAGAGACCAGAGAGAGACCAGAGAGAGACCAGAGAGAGACCAGAGAGAGACCAGAGAGAGACCAGAGAGAGACCAGAGAGAGACACCAGAGAGAGCAGATGGACCATACCAATAGCTCCTAGGTCTCTCTGGTCTCTCTCATCTCTCTTGTCTCTCTTGGATCTCTTTGTGGTTTCTCGCTGGTCTCTCTCTGTGGTCCTCATCAGTATAGAAACATGTAACCCTCTGTCTCCCTCTGGTGGTACAGGTAAGAACGACATCTTCGGCGAGGCCATCAGTCTGTTCGGGCGTCCAGGGAAGTCCAGCGCCGACGTGAGAGCGCTGACCTACTGCGACCTTCACAAGATCCAGCGCGAGGACCTTCTGGAGGTTCTGGACATGTACCCGGACTTCTGCCTCAGCTTCTGGACCCAGCTGGAGATCACCTTCAACCTGCGAGACGTGAGTCCACTCTGCACACAAGAGCCAGGAGGCATCCAGGATGGTCTGGTCTCTCTCTGGTCTTTCTCTGGTCTCTCTCTCTCTCTCTCTCTCTAGTCTCTCTTTAGTCTCTCTCTCTCTATCGCTGGTCCCTCTCTGGTCTCCCTCTGGTCTTCCTCTAGTCTCTCTGCTCTCTCTCTGGTCCCCCTCTCTGTTCTCTCTCTCTCTGGTCGCTCTCTCTTTCTGGTCTCCATCTCTGGTCTCTGGTCTCTCTCTGGTCTCTCTCTGGTCTCTCTCTCTGGTCTCCCGCTGTTCTTTTCTCTTTTTTTTTTCAATTTTCATTGTTCTGTATATAAAATGATAAGCCACAGGGGGCACTGTAGAGCAGACAGAAGCATGAGGCTGTACTGTTTTTTTGCTGGTTCTTGCTGGTGAAACATGGTGTGTCTCAGGCAGAGGGAGTGGACCTGGCCTCCTGTCCTCCCTCAGAGTCCAGCTTCTCACGACACAAACATCGACACCGCAGGAGCTCTCTACGCCGACGGAACCGCCCAGGTAACTGTCTCTCTCTGGTCTCTCTGATCTCTCTCTGGTCTCTCTCTGGTCTCTCTCTGATCCCTCTCTGGTCTCTCTCTGGTCTCTCTCTGGCCTCTCTCTGGTCTCTCTCTGATCTCTCTCTGGTCTCTCTCTGGTCTCTCTCTGGTCCCTCTCTGGTCTCTCTCTGGTCTCTCTCTGGTCTCTCTATGGTCCCTCTCTGGTCTCTCTCTGGTCTCTCTCTGGTCTCTCTCTGGTCTCTCTATGGTCTCTCTCTGGCCTCTCTCTGGTCTCTCTCTGATCTCTCTCTGGTCTCTCTCTGGTCTCTCTCTGGTCCCTCTCTGGTCTCTCTCTGGTCTCTCTCTGGTCTCTCTATGGTCTCTCTCTGGTCTCTCTCTGGTCTCTCTTTGGTCTGTGGAATCTAACTTTGTTCTCATCTGTGCGCAGATGGAATGGACCGAGAGGAGACCAGCCCGGACCACCCCCCTCCTCCCCCCTCCCTCTCTCATCCTCTCTCCCCCTCCTCTCACTGGGACGGCCTCTGCAGCAGTGGGAGTCTGTGCTCTCAGTCCAGTGATGAGAAGTCTGTGGGTCACAGGGACTGCTCCCTGCTGGTCACCCACTCTCCAGCACGACCCTGTGACCTCCAGGGGGCGCCACTCACAGGTACCAGTCTCAGGTCTCTTTCTGGTCTCTCATAATGATCATAATGTTGTTTTACTCCTTAGCTCCGCCCCTTGCCGTCCCTGGTGTCTATGATTACTGGCCGGAGCGCAGACCGTCCCAGTTCTCGGAGTATCCGCGACATCTGGTCCAGAGAGGTCTGTACCAGGAACGTACCAGTGAGCTGAAGTACCAGGACCGACCCAGTGAGCTGGAGTCCAGACTGGAGCTGTTGCAGACTCAGCTCAACAGGTGAGAGTCCATTTATACTTAGAGAGACCAGAGAGAGACCAGAGAGAGACCAGAGAGAGACCAGTGAGAGACCAGTGAGAGACCAGTGAGAGACCAGAGAGAGACCAGTGAGAGACCAGTGAGAGACCAGTGAGAGACCAGTGAGAGACCAGTGAGAGACCAGTGAGAGACCAGAGAGAGACCAGAGAGAGACCAGAGAGAGACCAGAGAGAGACCAGAGAGAGACCAGAGAGAGACCAGTGAGAGACCATTGAGAGACCAGTGAGAGACCAGTGAGAGACCAGTGAGAGACCAGTGAGAGACCAGTGAGAGACCAGAGAGAGACCAGTGAGAGACCAGTGAGAGACCAGTGAGAGACCAGTGAGAGACCAGTGAGAGACCAGTGAGAGACCAGTGAGAGACCAGTGAGAGACCAGTGAGAGACCAGTGAGAGACCAGTGAGAGACCAGTGAGAGACCAGTGAGAGAGCAGTGAGAGACCAGAGAGAGAGCAGAGAGAGACCAGAGAGAGACCAGAGAGAGAGCAGAGAGAGACCAGAGCGTGCTCAGGTCTCTGTTTTATTGAAACACTGTAGAATGACAGAATCTCCGGCCCCTCAGTCTTACTGCTAATTTCCACAGGACTCGTTACAGCACGTACGCGTTATACGCGCAGCAAACGCGCGTAACATCTTTCCGTGTAAACGAATGGTGATATTTACACTATTGTTATACGTGCGTATGACGGACGTATGACGGACGTATGACGGACGTATGACGGACGTATGACGGACGTATGACGGACGTATGACGCGAGGCTGCGCCTAATTTAGGATGGATTTCTAATGTGTGCGCACAGCAACACGTCTCCCAGTCAAAACACATGATATTTCTAGCAGTCCTTGGCTTTAGATCACAGCTACACACACACACACACACACACACACACACACACACAGGAGCAGGAGGTTTTACAGTGATTCTGGACATCAGTTTTTATTTCATTCATAAAGTCTGGCCAAACCAGCGCACAGAGACCATGAAGACAAACACATGCATGTGTTTTGTGTTGCTCTACATCAGTCTCTGTACTGTCCTCTACACTGCTCCACAGACTGCACAGGGAGAGCATCAGAAGCCTCAGACCTGCGCACACGCCCAGTGTAGACACAGCTGAGTAATGTAACGCAGATGCACTCAGTCAAGGCTCACTGTGTAAATTCCCTGTGACACTGGATCTTTTCAAAAGTCCTGTTTCAGGAGCAGGGACATCTTGATCTTCAGTCAAAAGCTGTACCAATGAGCTATAACCCCAACTAGCACAGGGACAGGCCTCCTGCTGGGCCCAGAGTCAGCATTAAACATGAGGAGGCAGAGCTTTAGATAAATGCAGCTAAATCTGGAACAGTCTTCCTGAAAGTGTGAGACAGGATTTTTCTCTGACAATGTTCAAATCCAAGTTAAGAATAGAAGGATTCTATCTTCTATTTTTAAAGCTTTGTGATTGTTTATGATGTTATTGTTTACTGTCTTGTTCTGTCCAGTCCTTTGCCTTGAATATGAACTGTGCTACACAGATAAACTTGTCCTGTTCCTGTGTGTTGCCAGGTTGGAGAGTCGGATGACAGCGGACATCACAGTGATCCTCCAGCTGCTGCAGAGACAGATGGTGCCTCCAGCCTACAGTGCTGTGACCCCACCCCCTTGTGATGTGACCCCGCCCCCTTGTGTTGTAACTCCGCCCCCTCGGACACCACGCAGGCTGCAGACCACACCGGCCATTTCAGCTGCTCAGGTCAGTGAACAGAACAGGACCTGTTTTTCACTTGTCTCTCTGGTCTCTCTCTCTGGTCTCTCTCTGGTCTCTCTCTGGTCTCTCTCTGGTCTCTCTCTGGTCTCACTCTCTGGTCTCTCTCTCTGGTCTCTCTCTGGTCTCTCTCTGGTTTCTCTCTGGTCTCTTCCATCTCTCTCACACATTGCTTCTTTCTGTTTCAGACTCAGGACTCAGAGCACAGATCCAGTGTGTGTCCTACCCACCAGGTCTACAATCCGGCGTGCACTGAGACCCCTCCCCCTGTTGCTGAGGAACCTCCCCTTGAAACTGACGCCCCTCCCCCCGGTGCTGAGGCCCCTCCTCTTTCCACAGAGCTGCTCCGTGAGAGATGCCGAGATCCACCTGTCCGTGATGTCACCAGGCCCCACCCCTAGTGATGTCATCATGCCTCACCCCAGTGATGTCACCAGGCCACACCCCTCAGTGGTGTCACTGGCCACGCCCTCCCCTGGAGGGACACACCCATGCCTTAAGCCCCGCCCACTTCACTTTCTCCCTCTACACCCGAGTCCCAGACCTTAGTCCAGGTCCAATCTGACCCTCAGTCCAGGTCCTGTGTCCCTTCAGGCCAGGTCCTGGTCCTTAGTTGTCCTCTGTGAACAGGAGAACTTATGTTTTTACAGAGAGTCACCAGCAGCTGTAGCAGTGAGAAAGCTCCTGTGGTGAGCCTGTAGCGCCCCCTGCGGTGGGTTACAGTACTGTCGTGTCACGTAGCTGTAGCTCTCACAGTTTTTGACTTTTGCAGAATTTAAGGAGTGTCTGGACACGACTGGATGTGGCACAATACACTGTAGTAATGAAGGAGTTAAGTCCTGGTTTAGACCTGGTTTAGACCTGGAGCTCGTGAATGTACAAACAGTTAATGAAGCACAAACTGTTATTTATATTTTTTAAATAAAATCACTGCACTTCTGCTGTGTGTGTTTGCTACCAGAGGGAGAAGGAAACAGACTCTCTCTGATCTCTTTGGTCTCTCTCTGGTCTCCAAACGTTATCGTGGCTAGTGCTGCTGTTGTTTGTGTCGCCCCCTTGTGGACAAAGCCAAACTGAGCTCTCTCCTTTATCCAAACAAATACATTATCACGGATGCGGTCTGTCAGCAGGGGGTATAGCTCAGTGGTAGAGCATTTGACTGCAGATCAAGAGGTCCCCGGTTCAAATCCGGGTGCCCCCTACTGGGCAAATAAATATTTTACCAACGATGAGGTGGCCCAAAGGCAGAAATGTAAGACGAACAAGTGTGAGTGTCTTTATGTACACTGGAAAGAGCATCGTTGCCGACTCTTTCTGGTTCCTCTCTGGTCTCTCTGAAAGCGTTTTGGGAAAACATTAAACTGAGAAGTTGTGCAATATTTAAAATGCTTTTAAACTGTCCTTAAGCGTTCGCATTATATCTGCTGAGGGCAGGGTCAGGTGGAGGTGTAACCAGCCTTCTCTTACTGACTTGAGTCACTCTACTTGTTTATCCTACCTAATGAGTTCGTGTCTGCCTCTGGACCACCTCATTGGTTGGTAAAACGTTTACAGCCAGTAGGGGGCACTCGGATTTGAACCGGGGACCTCTTGATCTGCAGTCAAATGCTCTACCACTGAGCTATACCCCCTGCTGAGAAAGAGCGATGATGTGTCACTTTAAATAAGATAACTCAGTTTATTGTAGCCACAAGGGGGCGACACAAACAACAGCAGCGCTATCGACAACAGAGAGAGACAGGAGAGAGATAGATGCACTGTTTAAAGGTCAGCTGTCTGTTGTGACGCATTGGTGCTAAAGTCTAATACCAGTCACGTTTTCAGTCCATAGTTTACGGAATAATATTAAATACAAAAAACAATATATATACATATATTTAAATGAATCAACTTTTAATCAAATGGGAACATGAATCCACACGGACAGATTACAAAATATAACTAAATTAAGTCAACACTAACAACATTTAAATTAAGTTCCCAAAGTGATTTAAAACAAAGTCAGGACAAAATACAATTATTCACAGTCCTGGGCCTACAGCCTCAGTCCTGGGTCTACAGCCTCAGTCCTGGATCTACAGCCTCAGTCCTGGGTCTACAGCCTCAGTCCTGGGTCTACAGCCTCAGAGTCCTGGGTCTACAGCCTCTACAGCCTCAGTCCTGGATCTACAGCCTCAGTCCTGGGTCTACAGCCTCAGTCCTGGATCTACAGCCTCAGTCCTGGGTCTACAGCCTCAGTCCTGGGTCTACAGCCTCAGTCCTGGATCTACAGCCTCAGTCCTGGGTCTACAGCCTCAGTCCTGGGTCTACACAGCCCTCTCTGGTCTCTCTCTGATCTCTCTCTGATCTCTCTCTGGTCTCTCTCTGGTCTCTCTCTCTCTGGTCTCTCTCTGGTCTCTCTCTGGTCTCTCTCTGGTCTCTCTCTGGTCTCGCTCTGGTCTCTCTCTGGTCTCTCTCTGGTCTCTCTCTGATCTCTCTCTGGTCTCTCTCTCTCTGGTCTCTCTCTGGTCTCGCTCTGGTCTCTCAGACTGAGGTCAGATATTGACTATGTTTCCTAATGTGGAGCAGCGCTGATGTAATCTCTCTCCAGCTGAGACTAAAACATGTGTTCATGTGACATCACACGGTCCTGAGATTGACAGTTTCACAATGTGGTCGAGAGGACTCCAAACACCGGTAACCATGGTGACAGTCAAATCTCTAATTCCTGGAATAATCCTTATGAAACAAAAACTCACAGAGTTACTCTTGGTCCGGGTCTAGTCTTGGTCTTGTCTTGATCGTGGTCTGTTCTTGGTCTGGTCTTGATCTTGGTCTGGGTCTGGTCTTGGTCCTAGTCTTGGGTCTGGTCTTCTATTGAAATGTTAAAAGATTTACTCACAGGTTTTGTTTTGAAGCTCATGTTGAAGCAGGACCTAACTACACCAGGACTAAACCAGGACTAAACCAGGACTTCACCAGGACTACAACAGGTCTACTGGGAGACTACATGAGGACTGATCCAGGAGTCATTACAGTCGTGTTGTTAGAGAGAGAGAGAGAGAGAGAGAGAGAGAGAGAGCTCTTTGGCCCTGCCCTGAACCAGGATTGAACCAGGACTGGACCAGGACTGAACTAGGACTGAACCAAGACTGTCCCAGGACTGTCCCAGGACTGTCCCAGGACTGAAGCAGATATGGCCTGGTGTATCAAAAGACTCAGCATTTAACCCGCTTTGAGAACTAATTTAATCCAGAAGGCAAAGAAGGTTTGACCCAGCGGTGAAAAGCTGACGCGGGTCTAAACATCCCGCCAACCTTTCCCACTGTAGTCTAAGAACGCCTTTAGTCCACCTACGACAACTACTTCCACTACTGTAGTATTACTGACGCAAAATCATTCATAAATCAGTGAAACAGCTGTAGACACACGTGAAAGTTTGCCCTCAGAGTCCATTAGCTGCAAAGGCCAAGGTCGCACACACACACACACACACACACACACACAGAGACACACACACAGAGACACACACACAGAGAGACACACACACACACACACACACACACACAGAGACACACACACACACACACATAGAGACACACACACACACACACACACCCACACACACACTGACACACACAGAGACACACACACAGAGACACACACACACAGAGACACACACACACAGAGACACACACACACGGACCCACACACGGACACACACACAGACACACACAGAGACACACACAGAGACACACACACACACACACAGAGATACACACACACACCCACACACACACAGACACACACAGAGACACACACCCACACACACACAAACACACACAGAGACACACACGGACACACACACAGACACATACAGAGACACACGCACACACACACAAACACACACACACACACACACATAACACCACTCAGAACCACATCCTCTGGACCTGATGTCATGGTCCATAAACTTTGATGATTCATGTTTCAGTAAAACGACTGTATACAGACGCTAATGCTAACACAGACTGTATACAGACGCTAACGCTAACACAGACTGTATACAGATGGACAATGCTAACACAGACTGTACCCAGATGGGGGTCGGCCCGATGTTCCCCGGGTCCGGTGTTCCCCGGGTCCGGTGTTCCCCGGGTCCGGTGTTCCCCGGGTCCGGAGTTCCCCGGGGCGGGGAACATCGGACCTTCCAAACGCCGGAGGGCCCGGTGTTCCCCGACTGCGGGCCTCGCTCATAGACATGTTATTGCTGCGCGCGGATAATGGAGCAACAAGCGGCTTTCGCTCATAACTAGTCTAGGGCTACTGAATACTTTATATTATAAGCCTTGTAGATCTCGCATTGTAGTAGCCAACTACATTTTTCCAACCTACCACCTCAGAATAAGAACGTGTTGCAGATAAGAAAAGTAAAATTAGCTCCACCACCTTTACTTTTTGGAAACATATCTCCCTCCGTTCATCCTCGCAACAGTATTGGCGCCAGGTTTGCAATTTTGGGTAGGCCGCAGATTAGTAAGTAGGCCAAATTCGCTTGCAAACTACAAGGGCTAACTGGAATTGGGGTTTCAAAGAATATGGTTCAAACCACACACGCACGCGCACGCACTCACGCGCGCACATACACACAAGCTCATTTATGAAACTTGCGTTGAAAAAGATGCACATTTTGGGTGTATATTCCATTTACGCAATTTGCCAAAATGTTTTGATACATTAGAAAAATCCTTCTTGAATTGTAGAAGTGAATAAATATAGATTGATTGAATGAATTAATTAATTCATATATATTATGCAGCGGTGGCTCTGAATGAAGCGTCTGCAGCGTCTTGGACGCAGCCTGGCTCGGGGTAGAAGTGCGCATTGAGGCGCTGTACACTTCAGAGAGCGTTTGCGGTCCAGATTTCACAAAGAAACTCTGGAGCCAAAACTTCTGCACATGTTGCGCGACCTCTCACGGCACTCGCTGCGCACTCTGGACAGGGCAGTGAGACGTTTGAGTGAGCAATACCATCGATGCGTTATTGGTGTGTGTGGCTGTGTGAGGCTTACACAAATCTAATGAAATAACACATTGCTTTACCAGATGTGAGGAATACAAATAGCCGTGCGTAATTACGCAGCGCAGAGCCTGCCACAGCAATAGACGGGTCACACATCCCTGTTGTGTAAAGTGTATTTATATAGAGCCTTTCACTGTCCAGGATCACAAAGCGCTTCACATTTTAATAACATACAGATCAAAATAATACACACACAAGTCAGATTTAATAGAGGGTCCTCATCATGAGCTGTGATTTATTCGAAGTTTGCGTGTTTCCATTAGACTTTTTCTGATGCGCAAATTCAAATTTTGAAACATGATCCTCAATGAAAACACAGCATATAATTTTGCCAGAGGGAATATGTTTATTGTTGTACATATCTTGAATTTCATGCGTGTTGTGCCGAAGGTTGAGATCAGCGTATAGATTTACACCACCTCCAGACCTGGCGTTTACTTTTTGCGTATTGTACACTCACGTCCAGATAGATGAATGCGGAAAAGTGTAATATTTTGCGTACGCCTCATTTACCCTGATTTGGCCGTACGCAGGTTTCATACATGAGGCCCACAGTGAGGCCCACAGTGAGGCCCACAGTGAGGCCCACAGTGAGGCCCACAGTGAGGCCCACAGTGAGGCCTACAGTGAGGCCCACAGTGAGGCCCACAGTGTGTCTCACACAGGCCTAGAGTTTACCTCATCAGTGCGAGGCCAGCCTGGCCTGACCCTCCTCCTCTGGGACCTACGGGCCCGGGCCTCTGGCTCCTCTACCTCACAAAGTTCACGCTGAACTTTCTTAAAATTAAAATGAAAAAGGCTGCTCTGTTGTGAATGCTTTGAGAGCGTTGTCAATCTTTAAGACGAGGAATAGCTGGTTGTTCTCGCTTCACGCTGTGTGATATGATATTGGACAAAATTGTTCAGCCAATAAACAGGACTATATTTGAAGCAACGTAGGAACGTGATGACGCTCAGGGGGTTATATTATTATTATAATTATTATTATTATTCCCCCCACTGTAGGAGCCAATACACTTTTCAATATTTTTGAATTCTGAGCGTTTCCAATTTAAAAATGGGAAACCTAATTAAACAATCATGAATTGAGCTTTTCCGATCTTATTTTACACTGATTCCTTGGATCATTTTTTTCTTAAAGTTCAAGTTGTAAAAATGCTATGTTTGAATTGGTTATTTACATTTTAACTGTGAGTGACACGTAAGGCGGGACAACAATGCACAATGACGCACGCATTCAGAATAGAATAATATGTATTAATATCTCTAGAACTAAAAGAGCATATTCAAGTTTTACAACAAAAACGACGTCATATGCGTGTCCATTATGCGTAAAAGCACAGTGCCCTCAGCAAAACCACGTATTTGGAAAAACTATAGGCTAACAGATGTTGTAGCTCTAGTTTCAATCGTCCTCATTTTATTCAGTCAGACTTGTCAAATATAGATGCCCATGGGAGAGCAAGGGGAGATAACATGCCCATAACATGCCCAAAAATATCCTGCATAGACTCAAGCTGCATCAGCTGAAATATGAGCACACAAAGAGCGAGAGGCAAAAAGAAAAGTAAATAGGCTTGGGCTAGTTAGTATTTTTTCTCTCACAAAAGTTGGCGCGGATCATATGCCATCTTTCGTGGAGGAGGAAACATCAAACATCAAAGCGCGCACGCGGGGAACAGCGGGACTAGTCTCGTTGTTGAAGTCCCGATGTTCCCCCATTTCTCTTGGCGGGGGAACATCGGACCCGGGGAACATCGGGACTTTTTAATACGCGAAGTACCGATGTTCCCCGGGTCCGATGTTCCCCCGCCTATAGAAGTGGGGGAACATCGGACCCGGGGAACATCGGTACGCACCCCTGCCCCTGTTACAGCGCTAAGCTAACGCCATCGGAACAAATGCCCAAATAAGGAAATTGGCTCCAGCTTATGTTTAGATCAGCTAAAGGTCCCATATAAAACCTTTAAACATCATTACAGTGCTATGTGGACTCATACACTGCCCAGAGTCGTTTCTTGAGAGTCACATTGTGATGTCACACGGTGGGCGTTACCTGGGTGACGTGCGTGACCTTCTCGGACACGTTCTGGGTCCTCTCTTTGATCTTGCTCGGGGCAATGATCTCGATCTCGGAGGGTGAGGGAGGTCTGAGGTCCGAGGCGAAGGACAGCGCCACCTGCGGGATCCTGGAGACAGAGCGCAGCCTCAGGAGGTCCGAGTCCGAGGTCGAGCTCACACTGGGCTTCAGGTCTGAGGAGAGACCAGGGTGAGACCAGGGTGAGACCAGGGTGAGACCAGGGTGAGACCAGGGAGAGACCAGGGAGAGACCAGGGAGAGGCCAGAGAGAGGCCAGAGAGAGGCCAGAGAGAGGCCAGGGAGAGACCAGAGAGAGGCCAGAGAGACCAGAGAGAGACCAGGGAGAGACCAGAGAGAGACCAGAGAGAGACCAGAGAGAGACCAGGGAGAGACCAGAGAGAGACCAGAGAGAGACCAGAGAGAGACCAGAGAGAGGCCAGGGAGATAGACCAGAGGGAGACCAGAGAGAGACCAGAGAGAGACCAGAGAGAGACCAGAGAGAGGCCAGGGAGAGACCAGAGAGAGGCCAGAGAGAGGCCAGGGAGAGACCAGGGAGAGACCAGGGAGAGACCAGAGAGAGACCAGAGAGAGACCAGGGAGAGACCAGGGAGAGACCAGGGAGAGACCAGGGAGAGACCAGGGAGAGACCAGGGAGAGACCAGGGTGAGACCAGGGTGAGACCAGGGTGAGACCAGGGAGAGACCAGGGAGAGACCAGGGAGAGACCAGAGAGAGACCAGGGAGAGACCAGAGAGAGACCAGAGAGAGACCAGAGAGAGACCAGAGAGAGACCAGGGAGAGACCAGAGAGAGACCAGAGAGAGACCAGAGAGAGACCAGAGAGAGGCCAGGGAGATAGACCAGAGGGAGACCAGAGAGAGACCAGAGAGAGACCAGAGAGAGGCCAGGGAGAGACCAGGGAGAGGCCAGAGAGAGGCCAGGGAGAGACCAGAGAGAGGCCAGAGAGAGGCCAGGGAGAGACCAGGGAGAGACCAGGGAGAGACCAGAGAGAGACCAGAGAGAGGCCAGGGAGAGACCAGGGAGAGACCAGGGAGAGACCAGGGAGAGGCCAGGGAGAGGCCAGAGAGAGACCAGGGAGAGGCCAGGGAGAGACCAGGGAGAGACCAGGGAGAGACCAGGGAGAGGCCAGGGAGAGGCCAGAGAGAGACCAGGGAGAGGCCAGGGAGAGACCAGGGAGAGACCAGGGAGAGACCAGGGAGAGGCCAGGGAGAGGCCAGAGAGAGGCCAGAGAGAGACCAGGGAGAGACCAGAGAGAGACCAGGGAGAGGCCAGGGAGAGGCCAGAGAGAGACCAGGGAGAGACCAGAGAGAGACCAGAGAGAGACCAGAGAGAGACCAGGGAGAGACCAGGGAGAGATCAGGAGAGACCAGGGAGAGACCAGAAAGAGACCGGGAGAGACCGGGGAGAAACCAGGGAGAGACCAGGGGGAGACCAGAGAGAGAGACCAGGGAGAGACCAGAGAGAGAACAGAAAGGGAACAGAGAGACCCAATGAACCAGATCTGAACAAGGACTGGACCGGGTCTAGACTGGGTCCTGTCAGCACAGTTGGTGGAAGCTCCTCATCTATCTTTGGGATTATTCCAGTGACCGAAGCCTCATTATCTTTAATTAAAACCATTCTTCTTTTAATTAGATTGAATTACCTTCTATTTCAGATATTAACAATACTGAAGACAAGGCTTTATTAGACCATGAACTAGTTTTACAAAAACCTCTAGACTCTCTCTGGTCTCTCTCTGGTCTCTCTCTGGTCTCTCTCTGGTCTCTCTCTGGTCTCTCTCTGGTCTCTCTCTGGTCTCTCTCTGGTCTCTCTCTGGTCTCTCTCTGGTCTCTCTCTGGTCTCTCTCTGGTCTCTCTCTGGTCTCTCTCTGGTCTCTCTCTGGTCTCTCTCTGGTCTCACTCTGGTCTCACTCTGGTCTCACTCTGGTCTCACTCTGGTCTCACTCTGGTCTCACTCTGGTCTCACTCTGGTCTCACCCTGGTCTCATCCTGGTCTCATCCTGGTCTCACCCTGGTCTCACCCTGGTCTCACCCTGGTCTCACCCTGGTCTCTCTCTGGTCTTTCTCTGGTCTCTCTCTGGTCTCACCCTGGTCTCACCCTGGTCTCACCTTGGTCTCACCCTGGTCTCACCTTGGTCTCACCCTGGTTTCATCCTGGTATCACTCTGGTCTCTTTCTGGTTTACTCACTGGGGTTGTTGTCGTCTGTGTTCCTCTCTGTCTTCGTGCCCTCAATCTCGTCCAGGGAGGAGGCTCGGCGGAGCGCGTGCACAGAGTCTCTCTCTGGTCTTTCTGGTCTCTCTGGTGCACAGACCAGCAGAGACCGGCGTTTGGCACCAGTGGGACGGTCCTGCTCGATCAAAGCCTCAGTTTCAGATTGAACACAACTCTCCTTCGACGGGATCCGGAACTCTTTCAGAGGGACCTGCTCTGAGTCCGGCTGCGAGAGACCAGAAGTTAGAGACTAGAGAGAGACCAGAGGTTAGAGACCAGAGAGAGACCAGAGGTTAGAGATCAGAGAGAGACCAGAGGTTAGAGATCAGAGAGAGACCAGAGAGAGACCAGAGGTTAGAGACCAGAGGTTAGAGACCAGAGAGAGACCAGAAGTTAGAGACCAGAGGTTAGAGACCAGAGAGAGACCAGAAGTTAGAGACCAGAGGTTAGAGACCAGAGAGAGACCAGAAGTTAGAGACCAGAGGTTAGAGACCAGAGAGAGACCAGAAGTTAGAGACCAGAGGTTAGAGACCAGAGAGAGACCAGAAGTTAGAGACCAGAGGTTAGAGACCAGAGAGAGACCAGAAGTTAGAGACCAGAGGTTAGAGACCAGAGAGAGAACAGAAGTTAGAGACCAGAGGTTAGAGACCAGAGAGAGACCAGAAGTTAGAGACCAGAGGTTAGAGACCAGAGAGAGACCAGAGAGAGACCAGAAAGAGACCAAAGAGAGACCAGAGAGAGACCAGAGAGAGACCAGAGAGAGACCAGAAAGAGACCAGAAAGAGACCAGAAAGAGACCAAAGAGAGACCAGAGAGAGAGTGTCTTACAGATAGATAATCCACCATGACTCCCTCAAACGGCTCCTTCTTCAGACTTGGTCTTTGCACCGACCTCAGCACCGGGAAACACATCCTCAGACGCTGACCTCGACCTGCACCAGGGGAGGGGTCAGAGGTCAGAGAGTGAGGGGTCAGAGGTCAGAAGGGGAGGTGTCAGAGAGGAAGGGGTCAGGGGTCAGAGAGGGAGGGGTCAGAGGTCAGAAGGGGAGGTGTCAGAGAGGGAGGGGTCAGAAGTCAGAAGGGGAAGGGGTCAGAGAGGGAGGAGTCAAAGGTCAATGAAGGGAAGGGTGTGTGTGTGTGTGTGTGTGTACGTGTGTGTGTGTGTGTGTATGTGCATGTGTGTGTGCGTGTGTGTGTGTGTGCGTGTGTACGTGTGTGTGTGTGTGTGTGAGTGTGAGTGTACGTGTGTGTGTGTGTGTGTGTGTGTGTGTGTGTGAGTGTGAGTGTATGTGTGTGTGTGTGTGTGTTTGTGTGTGTGAGTGTGAGTGTACATGTGTGTGTGTGTGTATCTCACAGTAGAGCCAGCTCTGTGTGACTCTGTGCTTCAGTCCTCTATTCTTCAGGTTTGGGTCGAGCAGCTGCTGAAAGTCCAGGATGAACATGATGACCTCCCCCTCCTCACTCTTCACCGGGACCACGTCTACGAGACAGGGCAGACACGAGCCTGCGGGAGACCAGAGCGAGACCTGAGAGGGGGAGGAGTGGAAGACACAAGCCTGAGGGAGACCAGAACGAGACTTGAGAGGAGGAGGAGAGGAGACACAAGCCTGAGGGACCAGAGAGAGACCTTAGAGGGAGAGGAGAGGAGACACAAGCCTGAGAGACCAGAGAGAGACCTTAGAGGGAGAGGAGGGAGACACAAGCCTGAGAGACCAGAGAGAGACCTGAGAGGGAGAGGAGGGGAGACACAAGCCTGAGAGACCAGAGAGAGACCTGAGAGGGAGAGGAGGGGAGACACAAGCCTGAGAGACCAGAGAGAGACCTGAGAGGAGGAGGAGAGGAGACACAAGCCTGAGAGACCAGAGAGAGACCTTAGAGGGAGAGGAGGGGAGACACAAGCCTGAGAGACCAGAGAGAGACCTGAGAGGGAGAGGAGGGGAGACACAAGCCTGAGAGACCAGAGAGAGACCTGAGAGGGAGAGGAGGGGAGACACAAGCCTGAGAGACCAGAGAGAGACCTGAGAGGAGGAGGAGAGGAGACACAAGCCTGAGAGACCAGAGAGAGACCTTAGAGGGAGAGGAGGGGAGACACAAGCCTGAGAGACCAGAGAGAGACCTGAGAGGGAGAGGAGGGGAGACACAAGCCTGAGAGACCAGAGAGAGACCTTAGAGGGAGAGGAGGGGAGACACAAGCCTGAGGGACCAGAGAGAGACCTGAGAGGGAGAGGAGGGGAGACACAAGCCTGAGGGACCAGAGAGAGACCTGAGAGGGAGAGGAGGGGAGACACAAGCCTGAGGGACCAGAGAGAGACCTGAGAGGGAGAGGAGGGGAGACACAAGCCTGAGGGACCAGAGAGAGACCTGAGAGGGGGAGGAGGGGAGACACAAGCCTGAGGGACCAGAGAGAGACCTGAGAGGGGGAGGAGGGGAGACACAAGCCTGAGGGACCAGAGAGAGACCTGAGAGGGAGAGGAGAGGGAGAGGAGAGACACTTTCTGGCCTCGTTTAGACGGAGACGCTGCAAAGCAATTTGCAAAAATGACCAGGCTCCTCATGCAAAGAGCACAGCGTCAACGCGACGACAAAAACAATGTAGTTCTAGCGCCGGCCAGTAGGAGGCAGTGGAACTACAACACAACACACGTGACCCCCAGCAGTATAACCACTTCCTCAACAACATCCACCTCAGGCCGCGGCAAAGATGGGAAAGAACCAAAATCATTCTGCATTTAACAGCAGCAGTGAAAATAGAAACTTAAAGTGGTGAGGTCATCGCAAAAGAGAATTCAAACCTTTTTCTTCAACACTTTTCACCTGAAACACTGCCTCAAACTCGTGTTACTCTCACAGCGTCTCTGTGTAAACAGCACATCTGTGTTTGGAATATAAAGTCAGGTACCTCAGCTTTAATGTGGTTTATGGAGCGAACACTAACAGTCTGTGTTTGTGACAAAGGCGACAGATGAAACTGAACAGACACATTCTGAGACAATCCACTATCAGCTAAATATAGGAGCAGAGATAACACCCAGGGGAGGGGGAGAGGGGAGAGAGGAGAGGGGAGAGGGGGAGAGAGGAGAGAGGAGAGGGGAGAGGGGACAGGGGAGGGAGGGAGGAGAGGGGACAGGGGACAGGGGAGGGAGGGAGGAGAGGGGTGAGGGGATAGAGGAGAGGGGGAGAGAGGAGAGAGGAGAGGGGAGAGGGGACAGGGGAGGGAGGGAGGAGAGGGGACAGGGGACAGGGGAGGGAGGGAGGAGAGGGGTGAGGGGAGAGAGGAGAGGGGGAGAGAGGAGAGAGGAGAGGGGAGAGGGGACAGGGGAGGGAGGGAGGAGAGGGGTGAGGGGAGAGAGGAGAGGTGGAGAGGGGGGAGGGAAGAGGGGAGAGAGGAGAGGTGGAGAGGGGGGAGGGAAGAGGGGACAGGGGAGAGGGGAGGGAGGGAGGGGAGAGGACAGGGGAGGGAGGGGGAGAGGGGTGAGGGGAGAGGGGACAGGGGAGGGAGGGAGGATAGGGGAGAGAGGAGAGGGGAGAGGGGGAGAGGAGAGCCCTGTTCTCTTTTCTTGTTCGTGAGAAGGATCAGTAGTTTCGTGGTCTGAGCAGTACCTGTAGGGGATGGGATTAATGAGGTGTAAAAGGGGGCAAAGAGCAGAGCGGTGCGGCAGGACTGCAGTCAGGAGAGATGTTGTGGAAAGGTTGCTAAGATACTGTACCACATACAGTATCAGTATGAGTATGTAATGAAAACACAACCAGGTAGAGTAGAGTACAGCCTCAGTCCTGGGTCTACAGCCTCAGTCCTGGTCCTAGTCCTGGTCCTGGTCCTGGTCCTCACCATCCTTGCAGTAGAAGAGGATTTCGACCTTGCGCTCCTCTCCCCCCTGCAGAGCCTCTGTGAGCTGGGTCAGGGCGCTGGTCGTGGTCCCTGGTCCCGTCAGGAAGGGGCAGCTGGCCGGCTGCTGCAGGACCTCAGCCCGACTGAAGCCGAACATCTGGCAGAAAGCATCGTTGCAGAAAACAACAGAGCAGCTGCTCCTCTGCGCGCTGGCGATCAGGAACCTGCGGCCTGAGGGAGGGAGAGCTTTGGATAGATTAAAGAGCAGCGCTTTGACCACAGCGTTGTCCAGATGATAATGAAGACAACCATGAGAACAGTCTGTGCTCCTCTCTCTGGATCCTACACATCATCAGGAGAGGAGAGCTGTGTATCGCGGCTGTGTACACAGCTGCAGAGAAGCGTCTGTGGAGAAGTGCAGAGGACAGAACAGGACTGTAGAGCAGTTATATCCACATGTGTTTGTCCTCATGGTCTCTGTGGCTGAGCTCAGACGCCAGACTAAATAAAAGACAAAAACTATGTCCAGAATCACTGTGAAACCTGCTCCTTCTGCTGAAGTGTGTGGACCATCAGCACAAAGGACCATCAGCACAAAGGACCATCAGCACAAACATGTTCCATGGGTTTTAACTGAGTCACTGTGCGGCCGTTATGTGACGTTTTCACTAAATGACCAGAGGTCCACAGGTGAGGTACTCATAGGTACTGGGTAATCCTGTGCAAATAGGCCTTATGGTGTCACACTTTGTCCCCTCCTCACACACGCTCTATTGTTAGCTCTATGGTTAGCTCTATGGTTAGCTCTACGGTTAGCTCTATGGTTAGCTCTACAGTTAGCTCTGTAGCTAGATCGTTCCAGCAGGATTAGCCTCTTTGCCGGTCACACTTCGGAGCGACAGAAGGGAAGTTGTGGAGAGTGAAATGTAAACAGTTCGTCAGGGGTGTTAGCAGTGCTGCTAAAAATACTCTGAGTGTGAGAGAATAATGAAGAGGTGACACCTACAGAAAGATCAACAGAGGAGCAGCTGCTCTGAGACCAGGGGACCACTATACATACATGGTTTACACCTGTGTTACAGACCTCACATTACACCTGTGTTACAGACCTCACATTACACCTGTGTCCTCACATGACACCTGTGTTACAGACCTCACATTACACCTGTGTCCTCACATGACACCTGTGTTACAGACCTCACATTACACCTGTGTCCTCACATGACACCTGTGTTACAGACCTCACATTACACCTGTGTCCTCACATGACACCAGTGTTACAGACCTCACATTACACCTGTGTCCTCACATTACACCAGTGTAGACCTCACATTACACCTGTGTTACAAACCTCACATTACACCTGTGTCCTCACATTACACCAGTGTAGACCTCACATAACACCTGTGTTATAGACCTCACATTACACCTGTGTTACAGACCTCACATGACACCTGTGTTATAGACCTCACATTACACCTGTGTTACAGACCTCACATTACACCTGTGTCCTCACATGACACCTGTGCTACAGACCTCACATTACACCTGTATCCTCACATTACACCTGAATTCTCACATTACATCTGTGTTATAGACCTCACATTACACCTGTTTTATAGACCTCACATTACACCTGTATACTCACATTACACCTGTATTCTCACATTACGCCTGTGTTACAGACCTCACATTACACCTGTGTCCTCACATTACACCTGTGTCACCATAAGTTTTCATTAAGTGCACAGATATAAAACACATATTCTACAAACTCTCTCTTCAACGTTTCAATGTAAGTCAAAATAGGAACCAGAGAGACCAGAGAGACCAGAGAGAGACCAGAGAGACCACAGAGGGACCAGAGAGAGACCAGAGAGACCAGAGAGAGACCAAAGAGAGACCAGAGAGAGAGAGACCAGAGAGAGACCAAAGAGAGACCAGAGAGAAACCAGAGAGAGAGCCCAGAGAGAGATCAGAGAGACCAGAGAGAGAGACCAGAGAGAGATCAGAGAAACCAGAGAGAGAGACCAGAGAGAGAACAAAGAGAAACCAGAGAGACCAGAGAGAGAGAGACCAGAGAGAGACCAAAGAGAGATCAGAGAGACCAGAGAGAGAGACCAGAGAGAGATCAGAGAGACCAGAGAGAGACCAGAGAGACCAGAGAGACCAGAAAGAGACCAGAGAGACCAGAGAGAGACCAGAGAGAGCAGAGAGACCAGAAAGAGACCAGAGAGACCAGAGAGAGAGCAGAGAGAGCAGAGGCGTCCCGTGCCAACAGGCAAGGCAGGTAGTTGCCTAGGGCCCCTGAGGGTCGACTTGTACAGGCTACAACAGCTACCTGCAGTGACAAGTTGACGGTTCATGAACATTTAAAAACCCTTTCTGGGGCGTTCTCTGAATTGGATGTAATGGTGGTCTTGTGCTTTAAGAAGCAATGTTTGCAGCCTGGGTTCACATCTGGATGAGAGCAGTATTTTGGATTTAACTTTATATTATATTATATGACAGATTGCTCAAGAACGGTAAAAGGTAAAAACAAGCCGTTTTTTGCAGATTAAAACTAAGAGCCTAATCTTTAATTTAGACTATATATATACACTGAGGGCCAAATGAAAGATTAGATTTTGTAGGATTAATACACTCTGAGGGGTAGTTTTTGTAATTATTTATAACATGATGAGTGCAGTGAACAAGCGTATGAAAAGACTACTAAGTACTCACTATGTTCCCTGTACAGTCTGCCAGGCCCCAGGCAGGCCCCAGGCAGGCCCCAGGCAAGCCCCAGGCCGATCCATTTATTGTTAAAAATAAGAAATTATCTACATTTGATTTATATTAATGTAAACAAGTAATAAGATAAAAGGCAATATCTATTATCAAATATATATTTATAACTACTGTAGTATAAACCTTTTTATGTGGTTGGTATCGGAGGCCCCAAGGACTCTGTTGCCTGGGGCCCCGGGGTACCCTTGGAACGCCTCTGCCAGAGAGACCAAAGAGACCAGAGAGACCAGAGAGACCAGAGAGAGACCAGAGAGAGACCAGAGAGAGACCAGAGAGAGACCAGAGAGAGACCAGAGAGAGACCAGAGAGAGACCAGAGAGAGACCAGAGAGAGACCAGAGAGAGACCAGAGAGACCAGAGAGACCAGAGAGACCAGAGAGACCAGAGAGACCAGAGAGACCAGAGAGACCAGAGAGAGACCAGAGAGAGACCAGAGAGACCAAAGAGACCAGAGAGAGACCAGAGAGACCACAGAGAGACCAGAGAGACCAGAGAGAGACCAGAGAGAGACCAGAGAGACCAAAGAGAGACCAGAGAGAGACCAGAGACACCAAAGAGAGACCAGAGAGAGACCAGAGACACCAAAGAGAGACCAGAGAGAGACCAGATAAATAGAACACAAAGAACAGAAAGATAAACAAGACCATCTTATTCAGCCTCATTCTTTATATTTTTCCATTTTAGATTTTATAAAAGTGTTAAAGTCTCGTTACACTTCCCCAGCTGTCACTCAAACAGACTCCACAGATCATGACCCTAAACAAACACAAAGTGACGAAAACGGCCCAAACTCACTGCGCTCGTCGAACTTGCGGATGATCGTGTCCAGGTACGTGTTCTGCTGAGCCACATGCCCGCGTCGCACCGGCATCTCCCCGGTTCTGCTCAGACCCAGGACCCAGGAGCCAGGAGCCAGGAGCCACTTAACACACGTGCCCGCGCCTGGAGAGACCCTGCACGCGCGGCTCGGGGGACTGTGGACGCGCAGGGAGATGGAAGTTCATCCGTGGGAAGCAGAGTCCGCGGATGAGAGGAGGAGGTGGTGCTGTTGTGGATGCTTCCCCAGCGGGCAGAGGCTGTCGCCCCCCGCACAGACGCTCCAGAGACGGGGAGAGTCAAGCTGCGAACCGCGGAGCTCACCGGAAGCACCGGGGCTGGGACTTTCACAAGAAAACCGCTTTGTGTCTATGTCTATAGTTTTACAGCGTGATGCTCTTCTCTCTCTCTCTCTCTCTCATAATCTCTCATAATCTCTGGTCTCTCTCTCTCTGGTCTCTCTCAACTCTGTCTCTGGTCTTTCTCTCTTGTCTCTCTCTCATTATCTCTTGTCACTCTCGTCTTTCTGGTCTCTCTCATTGGTCTCTGTTGCTCTCTCTGATATATCTCTCTGGTCTCTCTCGCTCTCTCAGCTCTCGTTCTGGGCTTGCTCATTCTCTGTGGACTCTTTCTCGCCTCTCTCTGATCTCTCCCTCCCTGGCTCTCTCTCTCTCTGGTTTCTCTCGGGTCTCTCTCTCTGGTCTTTGTTTGCATGGAGAGCCGAAGCAATGTCTTTGTCTGTGACTTCCTGTTACTTAAATAACAATGCATTGCAATAACAATGATTCTGATTCTTTACGTGTTGCTCTCTCTATGGTCTTTCTCTCTAGTGTTTTATTTTGAAGGTCTTCTCCCGGAAGTGTGAGAGGTGACAGGGACAGATCGCAGACATCACAGAATTAGACCTGATGCTCCTCTGCTGCTGAACTAAAGCAAAAGCGATAGTTCTTTAAAGCTGGGGTTCGTAACTTTGTCACATCTTTGGATCAGTTTTTTCAGACAGTAAAAAAGTGAAAAAAGACAGGACTCTCTCTTTCCCTGATGAGAACATGTTATAATTATGTGTGTGCGTCTGTAGACAGCTCTGTCTCTAATCTCCTCACACTGTGATAATGAGAGGTGAGGGTTCTATTCCCGTGTGATAATGCACCGTGCTCTTGACTTATCAGAGCACAGTGTGTTTCCCGCTCACTGACGTGTCTCTGAGCAACGCACGTGTGAAGGACACGCAACATGTGCTTAAAGCTGAGGTACGCAACTTCTGCGGTTCATAATAACAAAATATATAATAATTTTTAATAATGACTAGAGACCTGAGAGAGAGAAACTTAAGAGAAATGAGAGAGACCAGAAAGAGAGAGAACACAGAGAGACAAGAGAAAAAGACCAGAAAGAGACCAGAGAAAGACCAGATTCCTTGTAAACAAACTACAGTCGATGGTAGAAACCTCCAAAGGAGAAACACATCAAGTTCATTTATGGCTTCACTTTATTTTCAAAATAGTATCACAATAAAAAAAAAAAAAGAGAAGATCGTTTTAAATGAACAGAAGTGTAAAAATAAATTTTACAGAAGACACCAGTGAGAGACCAGAATGAGACCAGAGAGAGACCAGAGAGAGACCAGAGGGAGACCAGAGGGAGACCAGAGAGAGACCAGAGAGACCAGAGAGAGACCAGAGAGAGACCAGAGAGACCAGAGAGAGACCAGCTGCTGCAGATCGCCCTCTGGTGGACATGAGGCACATTTCACTTTTTCTTCCAGACTTCTTCTCCACTGATGTACGTGGCTTTGACATTGAGCTCATCGTCGAGGATCAGGAGATCTGAGAAACATCAACACATGAGAGAGACCAGAGAGAGAGACCAGAGGGAGACCAGAGAGAGAGACCAGAGGGAGACCAGAGAGAGAGACCAGAGAGTGTCTCTCTTTGAAAAATTGTGTTAATGTTAGAGACCTGCGTCACAGCCGTAGTCTAGCGCCCCCTTCCTGTGGCTGAGGTTCAGCAGCTGTGCAGGATGCAGAGAGGCGGCCTCTAGAGCCTCCTCCAGACTGCAGCCTGAAACCAGAGGGGTGTGGTCAGACAGAGCGGGCTCTAGAGCTGTGTCTGCAGCAAGTTATAAAGCTTATGCAGTCAGAACTACAGGTGGGGACTACAAAAATGGCCACCCTCTTCCTGCTGTATTCGGACAAAGCACTGCTTCAGGGGTCCGAGGTCACTGACCGGAGGCCTGTCTGAAGTGGCGCACACATATGTCCATGGGGGCGATGCTGCCGCTGAGGGTCTGCGTCCCTGAAACAACAACAACAAACTGATCCAGGAACAGTTCATAGAGCTCTGACCTAGATCTGCTTTAGACCTGACACTACTGCCTCATACGTCACTATAACTGATCATCAGAGACACTGGTTCTACTGCTGCTGCTACTGCTGCTGCTGCTGCTGCTGCTGCTGCTGCTGCTGCTGCTGCTGCTGCTGCTGCTCCTGCTGCTCCTGCGGCTGCTGCTGCTACCACTACTTGATAGTTTGATAACAGTGTTAGTGCAGAAGGGGTGGGGGGACAGACCTGCCACAAAAGCCTGAAGCCCTTGGATCTCCACCTCCTGTTGCCCCAGAGTGTGACGACCTGCGGGAAGACCCAGGGCAGGTATGGCATCTGTGACCAGCACCAGGCCTGTGTACCAGAGAGGGAGGGTTAGACCAGAGACCAGAGAGTGGGGGTAGACCAGAAAGAGGGAGGGTTAGACTAGAGACCAGAGACCAGAGACCAGAGAGGGAGGGTTAGACCAGAAAGAGGGAGGGTTAGACCAGAGACCAGAGACCAGAGAGGGAGGGTTAGACCAGAAAGAGGGAGGGTTAGACCAGAGACCAGAGAGGGAGGGGTAGACCAGAGACCAGAGAGGGAGGGGTAGACCAGAAAGAGGGAGGGTTAGACCAGAGACCCGAGACCAAAGACCAGAGAGCGATCCAAACTCTAGAGCTGCAGCCTCATAGCCAAAGAAACACATCAGACTAAAACATCACAGTAAAAAAACAGACGACCAGACCGGTACCTCAGGGTGGGCTTGAACAGAGAGAGACCAGAAAGAGACCAAAGAGAGACCAGAGAGAGACCAGAAAGAGACCAGAAAGAGACCAGAAAAAGACCAGAGAGAGACCAGAAAGAGATAACAAAGAGAGACCATAGAAACAGACCAGGGAGAGACCTGAGACCAAATGAGAGATCAGAGAGAGACCAGAGAGAGAGACCAGGGTGGGCTCGGTACCTGCAGGGTGGGCTCGGTACCTGCAGGGTGGGCTCGGTGGGCGATGCGCAGAGCTGCAGGGTGAGTGTGGATCCCGTCTGAGATCATTCCGTAGAAAACACTGCGGTCGAGTCGGTCGCTGGTGAGAAGCCCCACGATCCCAGGGTCTCTGTGGTGGAACTGAGAGACCACCCCCAATGTAAGAGAGAGACCAACCCCAATGTAAGAGAGAGACCTCCCCCAATGTGTGTGAGAGAGACCACCCCCAATGTAAGAGAGAGAGACCACCCCCAATGTGTGAGAGAGAGACCACCCCCAATGTAAGAGAGAGACCTCCCCGATGTAAGAAAGAGACCTCCCCCAATGTGAGAGAGACCACCCCCAAGGTAAGAGAGAGACCTCCCCGATGTAAGAAAGAGACCTCCCCCAATGTGAGAGAGACCACCCCCAATGTAAGAGAGAGACCTCCCCCAATGTAAGAGAGAGACGACCCCAATGAAAAAGAGAGACCACCCCCGATGTAAGAGAGACCACCCCCAATGTAAGAAAGAGACCTCCCCCAATGTAAGAGAGAGACCACCCCCAATGTAAGAGAGAGACCACCCCCCAATGTAAGAAAGAGACCTCCCCCAATGTAAGAGAGAGACCACCCCCAATGTAAGAGAGGGACCACCGCCAATGTAAGAAAGAGACCACCCCCAATGTAAGAGAGAGACCACCCCCAATGTAAGAGAGAGACCACCCCCATTTAAGAGAGAGACCACCCCCAATGTAAGAGAGAGACCACCCCCAATGTAAGAGAGAGACCACCCCCATTTAAGAGAGAGACCACCCCCAATGTAAGAGAGAGACCACCCCCAATGTAAGAAAGAGACCTCCCCCAATGTAAGAGAGAGACCACCCCCATTTAAGAGAGAGACCACCCCCAATGTAAGAGAGAGACCTCCCCGACCTCCCCCAATGTGAGAGAGACCACCCCCAATGTAAGAGAGAGACCTCCCCCAATGTAAGAGAGAGACGACCCCAATGAAAAAGAGAGACCACCCCCAATGTAAGAGAGACCACCCCCAATGTAAGAGAGAGACCTCCCCCAATGTAAGAGAGAAACCACCCCCAATGTAAGAGAGAGACCACCCCCCAATGTAAGAAAGAGACCTCCCCCAATGTAAGAGAGAGACCACTCCCAATGTAAGAGAGGGACCACCCCCAATGTAAGAGAC